TATTTTATATTTGTATAAATAAACAGATGATGATAATAATTAAAGAAGCTTATTTAAGAGACATTTTGGTTTTGAAATTTCCCCCATCAGGCCAGCTGGTTTGACACTCCTTCAGTTCTGCTGGGGAGTTTGTGTGCATCTCCCTTTGGATGTTTCGGTCAGGGTGAAGAGGCTGAGGAGGTGCTGGCAAAGCACACAAGCACATGCTATTTCATTACAGAAACAAAACCAGCGAGGAGAAGAGTGGGTTGTTTCTTCTCTCTGATCAGTAAATCTCAGCATTTTGCAGAGTTATTGCACATCGGAAATTACAGCCAGACTGGGTGAGTCCTAGTTATTCGAGTTTCAAACCCTGCACTGGGGAATTTGGAACCAATTCTTGGTCCCTCTAAAGGGCTTTGTCACATTAGAGGGAAGGTTGGCCAAGGCTTCTCTACAAGAGTATGGCTTAAAATCCACAGTCTTGTAAACCATTCCTGGATGCTCCCCAGACCACAGTGGGGTGGAGGAAGGTTTACAGCTTGCTGTTGTGAGGAAGGAAGGTGTAACGTGTGGCTGAGCAGTGCACAGCCTGGGAGTCCCTGTGAAGCCAGCACCTAGCTCTTCTGTGCAGCACGGGCCGTGGGAAATCTGTCCAGCTCAGACTCCATGGCTATGTGTGTGAGGGAAATCTGTTTTGTCTTTTCCTTTTAATCCCGTGCTGAAACTGAATTTGCCAATACAGAGGAAAAGCTGCTGGTGCCCAGGGATGTTTGCAAAGGCACACACGTGCACATGACTGCAGAAGCACTCCTCAGACTGTTGCTGGTTTTCCTCTTTGAAGTGAATGCAGGTGGTCGTCTTGTTCAGCTCTATTAAATCCTCCTCACCACCATCCCAGCTGTATAGTTTCTCTTTAACATTAAACACCCCTCAATGACATTGCTTTCCCTCTGTTGCTTGTGTATATGTGTGGTTTTGTTTTATTCTTCTGCTGAGGTGCCTTCTATTTTGCTGGTCTGTGTTTCAGAGTCCAGGGGCCATGCTCTTCTCCAGCATAAGCTAAGCACAGATATGTTTGCTCCTGGAATGTGGGTGTATGTTCACTGATGGAAGTCTTTGCTGTGTTTTTCCTTGGTAATAAAAGACTGTAATAAAATGGTGCCAGGGCAGAAGGCATTACCTAAGTCTGCTAATCAGTCTTACCACATTGGGATTTTAGTAGAACCCAATTCGTAAAGCAGGGAACAAATGCTGTTTCTAGCACAAGACAGTTCCTGTGCCTCTCAGCATCTGCAGAGTTCATTTGCAGTCGGAACAATCAAGAGAAGCCAGCTCCCAAAATATAAGGGTTTGCTCATACACATCTCCTTTGTTACTGTTATTCTAAGGGTGTTGGGGGTTTTTTCCCCTGTAAATTTTAAAATGCACAAAATATGCCAATAAGCAAAGGGCCAGTCATGAAGATTATTATTTTTATATTAAACCTCTGTTTCTTATAAAACATTGCAGTTTTACAGATTCCACCATTTCAACCACCAGAGAAAAATTTATATGTACCTTTCATGCTTCAGATATTTGAGGACTGCAGAAAAGCACAAGGAAGAAAAGTTATGTATCATAATTAGGGGCTGTTGTTTTTTTTAAACCATCGTATCCAGTTTTTATTTTATTTTTTTTAATCCAACAGGCAGTATATTTACTGGCATCCCAGAATGCAGTTTCTTGGAATATAAACAGTGGCTTAGATTTATTTTATTATATAAAATCCAAAGCCAGTGGTATTGTAATTCAAAGTAACGGAAATAGTTTTCCATGCATGGAAAAAATGTGAGTGCAGTGGCCTGATCCAACTCCCATTAAACTTCAGTGGGAGCTGGACTGAGCCCAAGATCGGATCAAATGTGTGAGCTATTCACTCCTGGGATACTCTATGTTTCTAGCCCAGTAATAAAACTTGCTCTACCTTGGATACATCTAAAAAAGACCTTTCCTCCCACCACCCTCACCTTATGTTCTTGTCCATCCTTTTTGCATCAGTGCTTAAAGGTGTCAGCTATTTGTTTATGACACCCTTAGGCATTGTTAATGTATCTAATAATTCAAAATTATTTCATTTGGCCTTTCTGATAAAGACCACACATTTAAGGGAGTTACAGCTCTCCTTGCAGTTTGGCACCACAGTTAATTTTGTGGGTGTAAACAAGTTTGAGAGCGGAAAAGTTGGCATTGTTAGGGCTGCTATTCATCTGGGTGTCCCTGGATATGTCCTTCTTTTTCCACCTAAAATGTTGTCTGGATGGAAAAAAAAAAAAGTGTTTTGGCCTTTGGTTCCATCACTCCAGACCTCTGGCAGCCTGATTGGAGCAAGCAGTTCCTATTGGACTGGGACCATATAGCGATAGGAGGGAAGTGACCATTTGATTTCTTTCCTCCTCCTTTTTTTACAAGACCTAGGTTTCAGTATTTTAGATTTTCTGGGAATTCTGTATCCAAATATTTGATCTCACTAAACTCTAGCTTAAAACTCAATTTCTATGGCGCCCACACATAAAAGAACCTCCTTAGGGTGGTAGTAAGTATAAAATAAGAACACAGCCAGATTGGCTTGGTGCAAAGCCAAAGGAAGTCAAACAGAAAGCTGCAGCAGAACTGCTTCTTTACTATGAAAGTTAAAAAGTGGTGGATTTTAAGTTGTGCCTTGCTAGATGCACAAAGTAGTTGAGGGACGTGGGGATGGGGAGCTGAGTTTGCTTCTGAGCTCTATGGATTGTCTGCTTTGTAATCTTCAACAAGTTACTTAATTTCTTTGCATTTTAGCCTCCAGCCTCCTTCTGTATAAAATGAGGAGCAGAATACCTCTTTTTCTGTAAAGCTCTTTGAGAAATATGGTTGAAAAAACATAATTGAAGGCCTAGTCTCTATGCTCATTAACTCTGGCAGGCAGACAGCTGTATCCCCATTGTGCAGGGACACGCTTGATTCAGGACAAAGAGGCTCAGCGGCACCTCAGAGGGTCAGATGCTCAGAGGTGGTTGCTGGGGGGCTCAGCAGGAGCCTCGCAGGGTCTGTAGCAGCAAAGCCTTACTCTGACACAATGCTGGAGGAATGACCGTGCTACAAAAGAGAGGTCAGCTCAGGGCTTGTTTATTTATGGGTATTGAATATCTTGTAGCTAGAGTAAGGCTTAGGGAGGTTAGCCTGGTTTCTGAATCAAATACCTGCCTGCTCAGATTCTGTTTGCAGTTTGATATGGCTAAGCTATTCACACAATACGTTATTATACAGCGTGTGCTGGTAACTTTGGCTGCCGCATTCCAACCCTGAAGTCACTGCACTTCAAGGCTGATAGAAATGGCCATCCTTAAGTCATGTGAAACTAAAATATTTTGGACTTAAAGGCACTATGCAAATATACTGTTATTGCAAGTCAGTGAACATTGGCTCCTAAATGGAGCAGAACGGGATGCAAATCTGTCATCATTTTCCAACTGGCGAGTGCTACCTAAGTTCTAATGTGAATGAATGAGGCCTCAGTATGCTGTGCTGCAACATAAGTTAAGCAATAGCTGATCCCAGAACAGTGTCTTTAATTTGATATTAATTATGGTAAAAAGATAGTGGCAGGCTTGGCAGAAAATTTAAATGAACCTTTTGCCTTTTAACACTACTGAACTCCTGTTCTTTGTCTCCAAAACATCTGTGCCTCCCCAGAGCTCAAGGTAACGGAGCGACTGCTGCCCTTGGCAATGCAGGGAAAAGCCACGTTGTACCCAGACACACAGCATGAGTGGAACTTACATGTTCTACAGGGACCCAAGTTTTGTAGCCCTGACAAAGCACAAATGAAGCAGATCTCGTTCAGTCATATAAAATCAAACATGCAAAGGTCTTTCTCTGCTCACTCGACCCCATCCAGGGAGAAGCCTAGTTGGTTTAAATTACACTGTGGGAGCAATTCCTAATCACCTGTGGCTACAGAAATATAGACAGCATTTTCATCCGCTGACACAGCCACAGAACATCCCAAGGAGACCTAAGGAAATACCTTCCAGTGACTAAAGGGCATTTCTCAAGTGTCTGTTACGAGGTTTTTCCAGAACCAGATGCTTATATGGTCATGAACTTTCATTTAGCTTTTGTTTAACTACATTTCAGGTTAAATAGTTTCTAGCAGATACTCTGTGAAGTTCACTGAAGGGCAGGCTCTGAAGGAATTGTCATATGACAGATAGTGAGCAGATGTGAACACTATGCCCCTCTCCTCAAAGGTAGACTCTGGCTATGTCTGATCTATGGGACCCAGAGATTCATCCCATCTCCTTGGTCCAGATGTATATCCTGGCCATATTCTGACTCCCTACCAGGGCAGTGTGGGCACCAATACCCTGTGTGTACAAAGGCTGATGGACACAGAGACTGTTGAATGGGGAGCTTGTCCCAGCTCCAATGTAGATAGGTTGTTGCTTTGGGACTGGGCCACATAGTGAGAATACCAGCTCTGAATTCTAAATATAACCAGCTTCAAAGATAAGATTTCTGTGCTCAACAGAACACATACCAAAAAGGACAAAAAGAATAATGATCAGCAGTTATAAAACCCCAAATAACAATAACAAAACCCCAGTATAATACAATGATCGCAGCGTGCTCATGGCCCCCATCTGTCAGTCTTCTGCAGGGCCTGAAGCTGTTACTATGTCCCCTTGCTTCTTTAGTCTGTTTAAATGACAGTTGAAATCTATTTTTTTTTTTTGCATTAGAATTAAAAAAGGCATGGCCTACTTGACAGCATTTCCTCCAAGAGAGAAAAGAGGGAAAAAACAGTAGGGTCAGGAGTTCTCCCTGTGAGCAGTGATAAAATGCAGCAGCTGTAAAAAGAAGTACTAAATATTGCCCTGTGACACTCAAGTTGGACACCTGCCTCAAGTGTTACCTCTCCACCTGCCCAGTGTGAGCTAGCTCTGATGG